GAAGAAGAAGAAGAAGAAGAAGAAGAAGAAGAAGAAGAAGAAGAAGAAGAAGAAGAAGAAGAAGAAGAAGAAGAAGAAGAAGAAGAAAATGATGATGATGATGATGATGATGATGATGATGATGATGATGATGATGATGATGATGATGATGATGAAGAAATAGCATTTGTATCGTGCATACTATGCTTCATTTTTACCCCTCCCCCCCCCCTAAAAAACGTGTCTTATAGCGTCCGAATTTCCAGAGTACAGACGATAGCAACAACAACAACAACAACAACAACAAAAACAACACAGACGAAGACAATGACAAGAGCAAGGAAATTTTTGCGGGTAATGTTAATGGGGTCAAGATCATGTTTAATCGTCTGAAAGCTCACAAAGCAAGTAGACCCGATGGAGTAAAAAGTAAAATTATTAAAACGTGTTCTATTCAGGTATCTCCCATTTATACTGATATTTTCAATATGTCTTTGAAACAACGAATAACACCACTCTCATGGAAATGCTCTGAAACAATTCCTGTCCCAAAGAAACAATCAATACAAAATTTGAACGACCTAAGACCTGTTGCTTTAACATCAGTCCTCATGAAATGTTTAGAAAAACTGGTTTTGAAAGAACTGAGAAAATCAACAGAAGACATACAGGATAACACGCAATTTGCCTATCGTGCCAAGAGGGGCGTGGAGGATGCCATTCTCGTGTTCTTAGATAACATCTACAAACACATAGACACACCAAGAAATTACTGCAGGATACTTTTTGCTGATTTTTCATCCGCATTCAACACAATCCAACAGCACCATAATGGTTCCAAAATTAATTAACATGAACATAAATAAGAACATTATAGCTTGGATCCTTGAGTTCTTAACCAATCGACCTCAATATGTAAAATTAAATGGTGTAAAATCGGACCTAATATTCACGAACACCGGTGCGCCCCAAGGCTGTGTAATCTCCCCTGTCTTGTTTACGCTCTACACCAACGACTGTACTTTTGATAACAAAAACACCAAACTAATAAAATCTGCGGTTGATTCCACTTTACAAGGCCTTACAACAACAAATGAGAATGAATACAGGGACGCTGTGAATCTATTTACAAATTAGTGTGATAACCACTTCCTTATACTAAACGTAAAAAAGACAAAGGAATTAATAATAGACTTTAGAGTAAAAAAAAGACCAATTGCAACCACTATTTATTAAAGATGAAGAGGTGGAGGTGGTAAGCTCTTACAAGTTTCTTTGTGTAACAATCGACCACAAACTTGACTGGCATCCCCACGCTGCTCTCGTGCATAAAAAAGTAAATCAAAGAATGTTTCTTTTAAGGAAATTAAGAAGTTTCCGTGTTGACAATAAGATTGTGTCCCTTTTTTACCATTCTATGATTGAAAGTGTACAATTATTTTGTATTTGCTGCTGGGGTGGGAATTATAAGGTGAAAGATAAAGAAAAATTTGACAGAACCATTAAGAAAGATCTCTGGATATGATTTTATAAGAATAGATGAAATGTATAACACCACACGTATTAAAAAGATAAAAAAAACATTATAAACGACCCATCACACCCCTTTTCCACACAAATTGTAAGATCATGCAGCGGCAGATATGTACCTCCAAAAACAAAGAAAGAAAGATATTAAAGAAGTTTTTTACAATCTAGCATAAGGCTTTTGTCAGA